ACTTTTAAGGTGCAGTCCCCCTCCCCTTTGTGGGTTCGAAGTTTGAATTCCACCCTTATCACTTTGTTCAAAATATATATATATATATATATATATAATACCATAAATTTGATTAAAGTAAAAAGTGTTCAACATTTCTTAATATGAAAAAAAAAAATAACTATTGTTGTGCAACAAAAGAAATATGTTAATGATAAAAAATAATTTTTTAATAGTGTTATATATTTGTATAGTGAATAAAATATATACAAACTAATTATCAGTAATTAATATTAACTAATTTAAGTGGTAGACAAGCGTTGAAAGAGCAATCATAAATGCATTTACGTAATTTACCTCAATTCTATAAACTAATAAAAGTAGAGTTAACAGTTTAGTTTTATTCTAGGTTAAATGTTAAATTTGATCCTTTAATTTTATAGAGTTATATTTTTTTAATTTTTTTAATTATTTTTTATATTTTTTTATCTCTCAACTCTAAAAATTACACAATTTTAATCTCTCTTTTAATTAAGTATAACGTGATTGTTAAATAATTTCAAATGATATTTTCTTTTTATTCTTTTGATGAGATAGTAATACCATGTCTTGTAATTGGATTACATAGATAAATAAAAATGTCACATCATATGAATATTTATATTTTTAATAAAAAGCAACAAAGTTACGTTATTACCCTCTCTTTCACGATCCATCTTCCTCCCCCTCTTTCCTATTACAACCACCGAACCTAGATCGATTAGGCTTCATTGAATCCAGCTACTGGGTTCAATAAAGAGTCAGTTCAAGAGAAATTTTTTAATTCTTTTTTATTTTTTTTGAAAATAGGCATTGGAGAAATTTCTAAAATCTAGTACAATGTAAACTCAACCAAAATGGGGAAGAAATCGTTCCAAACTTACGGAAAATCAAAATAAAAAATATATATATAAATTTTAAGAAAGGTTTTTTTAATTTAATGTCGGCGATTGTCCTAGAATATTCAAAATCGAATTCGTTCCAGTTAAATAAAATGCTTAAAACAAAGGAAAAGTTGATATATGAGGAGATCTGATTCTTCCCCTAAGTGCTTAAATTCAAAAATTCTTTAAAAAATACAAAAAGGGAGCAGATCATGGAGAGATCGACGAATTTAACTGCTATGATCTCAACATTGAAAGAATTAAACAACACGTTGCTTAAATCAAAAACCCAAAATTGCAGACCAAAACCTTACAAAATTAAAACAAACTACAAGGAAGAAAGATCAAGGGGAAAACAGAAACCTAGAAAAGCTCGAAATAATGAATAAAATCAACAACACATGGGGAACAAAACAAACTGATACATGTTTGGTTGAAGGAGCAGTACTGAAAATCGCAAAAAAGGTTTGAGGGAGAAGGAAGAACAAACCTGGGAGTGCTCAACTTTATAACGAGCTTCTCAAATTCATCATAAGAATTGCACAACTCCATCTCTGTTTTTGCCGTTGGTTCTTCTTCTTCTCCCTTCCTTCTTTCCCTCTCTTAAACAACTTTCCTCCTCTAATTCAAGCAAAGCCAAGTAGAGCCAAACGCCAGAATACCCAGAAACGAACCAATCTGGGTTCCATCTAACTAGGCAACTAGGTTTAATGGAACCCAATAGATTTGAACCACCGAACCCAGTTGCAGCAGGAAAGAGGAAGAAAGAGAAAGAGGGGGAAGAATGGATCGAAAAAGAGAGGGTAATAATGTAACTTTGTTGCTTTTTATTTCTTTTTATTAAAATTATAAATATTCACCTGACCGTAGCATTTTTATTTACTTATGCAATCCAATTACAAGACATGTGGTTACCACCTCGTCAAAAGAATTAAAAGAAAATTTCATTTAAAATTATTTAACAATTACATTATACTTAATTGATGAAATGATCAAAATTATATAATTCTTAAAATTAAAAATAAAAAAATATAAAAAATAATTAATGAATCAAAAAAATATAATTATATAAAGTTGAAACCCAAAATTAACATTTAA